ATGAGTAGTTGCATCCTTAACCAATAAAGAGTCATAGAAAGAACAGATTGGGGGCGCGTAGACGCCGTGATGGAGATACGACAGAGAGAGGGTGGAAAGGGGAGAGCATGTTGTATTTTTGGGAATGTAAATTATGTTATTGAGATAGGACAGATAGAGGGTGGAAAGGGGAGAGAATGTTGGATTAGGACTTAGAAATCATGTTATTGAGATAGGACAGACGGAGGGTGATGAGGGGAGAGAATGTTGGATTAGGATATAGAAATCATGTTATTGAGATAGGACAGACGGAGGGTGATGAAGGAAGAGAATGTTGGATAAGGACACAGAAATCATGTTATTGAGATAGGACAGACGGAGGGTGATGAGGGGAGAGAATGTTGGATTAGGACACAGAAACGACATTATTGAGATAGGACAGGGAGAGCATAGAGAGGAGGGTGGAGAGGGTGGATAATGTTTGATTAGGACACATCAAAGATGTTAATGAGATTGGACAGACGGAGGGTGGAGAGGGGTGAGATTGTTGGATTAGGACATGAAATCATAAATTTCATTCGATCCAATGTGAGGCTTTTGTAATACAATATTATGCTTACCAGATAGCACCGATTTTGTTTATATTTTGAAAGAAATGATTTCTGCCAGAAGGAGCTATCTTCAGATAGCACCTTTTTGCTCATTATTATTGGGGTCAATTTTGCCGGGCAAAAGGAGCTATCGAGCATTTTGACCAAATATGGCTGTTTGAAAGACAGATATGACTAAAAGTACTATGCTTATACGGTCCATTTATATTACAAAATAATAAATTCCCCATGTAAAGCATGATTAAAATATCGATATTCAAAACCTTAAATCTCAATTAAAAAGTGAAAAAATCCAGATAGCACCTTCTGGCAATGAACCCTCGATAGAAATGATGTGATGGAGACAGGACATGCGGAGGTCGGAGAGTGGAGACAACGTTGGATTAGGACACAGAAACGACGTTATGAAGATAGGACATTCGGAGGGTGGAGAGGTGAAAACATATTGGATTAATACATAGAATTATGTAATTGAGATAGGACAGACGGAGGGTGATGAGGGGAGAGAATGTTGCATTAGGACACAGAAACGATGCATTTGAGATAGAACAGAGGGATGGTAAAGAGTGGAGAGAATGATTCAATAGGACAATGAAAGGATGCTGTTGCGATAGGTGAGAGGGAGGGTGGAAAGGGGATGAGAATGTTGGATTAGGACATAGAATGGATGTTATTAAGATAGGACAGACGGAGGGTGGAGAGGGGAGAGAATGTTGGATTAGGACATAGACATTATATAATGGAGAAAGGACAGACGGACGGTCAACTGGGGAGAGAAAATTGGATTAGGACACAGAATCGACGTTATGGAGATGGTGGAGAGGGGAGAGAATATTGGATAAGGACACAGAAAATATGTTATGGAGATAGGGCATGCGGAGGGTGGAAAGGGGAGAGAATATTGGATTAGGACAGAAACGACGTTATGGAGGTAGGACAGAGAGAGTGTGGAGAGGGGAGAGAATATTGGATTAGGGCATAGAAAGCATGTACTGGAGATAGGATAGAGAATAGCAAAGAGAGGGATAGTGGGAGAGGTTGGGGGAAAGAGAGATGGTATGACGGGGACAAAAAGACGTGCGATGACGATGGAACATTGATGGGAGGGGAGGGGTGAGACTGAAAAGTAGAGACACAAGAGACTTTGTGATGGCGATAAGACACCAGTGAGGTGGAGAGGGGAGAGACGGTACAGCAAGGACGTAGATTGTATAACTCGTACAGACTTTATATAACGCTTTAACGTAAAGGAAAGTTATCAATGGTAGTAGGTCGCTAGACGAAAGGAGAGTGTCGGATAAATGTGAAGCTAGCGAAGTCTATGCATTAACCTAATAAAGCAAATTCGTCGACATCAAATAGATGAGAAGATGAAAATAGAAATATTGTAGATAAACGATCGGCTACAAAGAGGGGTGAATGGGCGATGACACGCTAGATAGAGACACTGCCTCTTGCACCTGTAACTTTGTGTCCGACGACCAACCGGATATATTATAAATGCAATTATGTATACAGTTATTCAAGGAGCAATGTTGGGTTAACGCCAGGCAACAAACGGGGCTCACTTTTACAAGAACTTCGATCGACCCCCATTACGAGTTTCCCTCGCCCCGTCACAGACCCCTACCCCACGGGACCCATGCAACTTTAGGGTCAAGCTCCAGTAAACCATATTGCTTCAAAGCCGACAGCTCTCTGATCGGGAGTCGTACACAACATTTCAAAATATCAGATTCGTCAGAACTGAAATAACTGAAGTTTAATATAGAAGAAAAATTGAAACGCCACCCGGTCTGTTCGCAGATTGTTATGTAAGTGTCTGCTGTGTTGTCACGTATCCTCAGACGAAAACGTCTCCTGTTTCCAACCTCCATTACCGGCAAATTTAATCAGATAGCAATGATGAGAAAATGCCACTAGGATTACATGTAATATAGAAAATCTTACTGGCACCTTTAGCATCATCTAAAAGCTGTTAAAATATGAAACACGGATCAAATATTGAAGCTTTGTTTGGTTAATTTGTTTGGGTTAACGTACGTCCGCATACAAGCTTTGTGTGGTTAGTTTGTTCGTGTTAACGTACGGCCGCATACAAGCTTTGTGTGGTTAGTTTGTTTGGGTTAACGTACGTACGCATACAAGCTTTGTGTGGTTAGTTTGTTCGTGTTAACGTACGTCCGCATACAAGCTTTGTGTGGTAAAACTCGAAGACAAGCACGTACAGCGGAAAATGATCTCACCGACAGAGACACACGCGTTATATCATCAGGATCAACTCTATACGGAGACAGGTGAGACGCAAGGACCGTAGCCAAATACTGAACCACATGTGGGATCAGACTGGTATCGGCACATGTTTCGATGAAGGTGTCCACTTAAGACGCCGTTATAATTAAGTGGAATTTTTTTTTCTTCTTCTTCAAAAATAGATATAAATTCGTCTATATTCATTTTCGTTCCCGCATGATACCATTACAGATGTGTTGCCGTTGTAAATGTATTGGTGACGGAAGCCAACTTCTTAGAAGAGCACGACTCCAGCTGGTAAAGCGCTCAACAGCATCTTTTGGGCTGCTAGGTGTCGGTGTAATCCCGGTATGGACTTCTAGTTTTTAAAGTTGGTTGAAATTTACGGAAAGAATCAGGAACTGTTCCTTTAGCGGTAGTTTATTATCACGCTAGGTACAGCACCTTCTCATTTTTTTTAAGAACACAGCACTTCACTTGTCTTCAATCCGATCAGGAATGCTTAACACACTAAGTTTTGTGTATGTTTACTACCATGTGTTTGAATCACGTTTTATTTTGTGTCAGTTACGCTTATTTAGGAATGATTTGTTTGACTGAGCGGTAGGAACCAGTGGACGGTTTAAGAATAGTCAGCCAATTTCCTGGAAAGCACTCCCCAGATTACGCGGTTACAAACGTCACATATACGTATAAAACACTATGTCTATGTTCATAATTAACTGAATTACGTGCCGTTGTAAGACCAATACTATTGATTAGAAACCATGACAACACCAGAGCATGTTTTTCGCTACGCCCGACGATCTATAACTTCTAAATGGTCATTTATCAAATACGTGAAAAAAACTATATAAGATATCCCCACAGTCAGTGGCTTACTGATAAACGCCGCTCGTATCGCTAATTTAGATTCCATTTACTTATGTCATAGTTTTTCTGTAAATAGTTATGCTGATAACAGTTTCAAACGGATTCCTTGCTTGGCCTGGATGGAAGTCCAAATTACAAGATAGCATCCGTATAACTCATTTGAATTAAAGTAAGTGTGTTTTCAAGTTGTTTGATGGCAAACTGACCTCGTGTGGCAGAACGTCCATTTGCAGCTCGTGACCTGTAATGTTGATATGTGTTGTTCTGTATTGGTCCCGACAGCTTATACGTTTCATCTCCTCTGGTCTGAGCGGGGGTAATGTACACAATAGGCCGACACTACAATCAAAGCTACCTTCTAAATAGGGAAAAACAGAAATAGACAGTCGAGTTGATCATAATGGGAAGAAATATAACAGTTGGAGATAAGGAAAAAATCATGACTCTTCCGAAAGAACGCATTACTTATTGGCTTAATGAAGTGGGTTGATCCAAAATCGGGCGGAAATGACGAAATATTTGTTACATATGTGATTTATCATGTCAGACAATGAACTCACAAAGTCTAAAGTCAGGTCAAGATGGTAAACGTAGTATTCTGGTAGAAATTAGAGGAACTCGAATGTATCTCCGTCGATCAGAAACCAAAGGAGCGTCTTGGATTCCGAATCAGCCCGAAATGATAAAATTGGTCAAGGCCGTGATAGGGCAATTTATACATTCGGAAACTGAATAAGTAAGTGTGATAACGGGGAACGTTTTGGTCAAAAAATAGATGGAAGTAGAGAAAATAGTTTAATTAAGAACGACTTAAAACCTATCAAAATCGTAACAAAAACTTTAAAAAAACCCAGCTCCGGGTAAAGGGCTAGAAAAAAAACAACCGATCTTCAAAAAGGACAACAGTGTCAAGAATCAGAGAACACAGAAAAATGTCGGAGCCCTAGAACAAACGGAAACAGTAACATGTTCTGTATAAAAATGGGCAGAAATTATGATATTTCCCGTTCTAAAAGGACTGAACACCATAGGGGGATAAGGGTCGAGGATGGATGGTAATGATACAACTTGGATCTATTGTTAGGGTCCCTCCACCCTCAAGGACTGCATATCTTAGGTATAACTAATAGGTCATCTGATTTAAACGCGCTCCTGTTCTCAAAATGGTATTTGTATTGGCCTTTTTCTTCGGCTTTTTAAATGTGGTTCAATTAGTCGACATTAATATATCTAATGCGTTTATGCAAATATGTGTATTTTCAAGAAATATAACAACGCCACATATCAATCAAGAATAGTTTAATAATTGAATATCAGTAAGTTTGTGTACCAAAATACATTTGTCAAAAAGATAAATACAGAAATTTATAACTTCCTCTGGAATAGTAAGATTGATAAAATTAAAAGAGATGTAATTATTAATAACTTTTCTAATGTTCGTCTCAAAATGATTCATATTAAATCATTTATAGACTCATTAAAGCTAACATGGATAAGGAGATTACTCTCAACAACAGGAACATGGCAAATTATTTTTAATTCAACTATTGATAAAAACCTTCTTGTAATTGTGGATCAGACTATGTTTCCTTAACTGTAAAAATCTATTCTGGAAAGATTTCTTTCTTCCGTGGAAAAATCTTACTGTACTAGAGGAAAAAAATACAGATTCAAAACAGATCTCTGACATGCCTATATGATTTAACGAAAAAATCAAAATACATAATAATAGTGTTTTTTGATTGGTATATAGGAATGGAGTTGTAGTAGTTAATGACTTAAAAAAGGATAACAACAACTTCTTCAGGGTTTTTTAATTAAGAGAAATATATGGTGTTAGAGAAAATTTCTTACAATATCATGGAATTGTTACAGCTATAAAGGAGCTTTGCAGTCGGTGTAACTTGACCCATCTAAAAATAGACGACCCTTTTATTCCAAGAAAATTACAAATATTTGTTAAAAACAGAAAGGTACATTTTTTTATATTGTGCTTAGTAAAAATGATATAATTGCAAGCGGAATAATAAAATGGGATGAACAATTTGAATTTGATGAAGGAGATTGGAAAATGATTTTTAAACTCCCTTTTTCTGTAACAAAAAATACAAAATTGCAATGGTTCCAATTTAGGGTTAATCACCATATTCTAACAACAAATTAGTATTTATTTAAAGTTGGGTTAGTAGACAGTCCTTATTGTAACATTTGTAAAACAGAAATTGAAACGATAGAGCATACGCTATGGAACTGTGAAAAAGTTCAAATTTTACTTGTATTTTTTTTTATTGAATTCGTTGTTCATTCCATTTGAATTTAATCTTTTCTTTTTGGTACATATCGTCAGAATGGAATAAGCAGAAAAGCGAATAATATGATCATATTAACAATAAAACAATATATCTATAGATCAAGGTGCCTCAAGAATGAACTCTGAATTATTGCCCCGAAAAATTCACTAAAAGATACAAATACAACTCAAAAATACATTGCTAGAAGTAAGGGAGAAAGCTACTAAACCAGTTTCAAAGAGAATGGGCCAAATGGCAAAACTATTTTTGAAACACCCAAACTTGCAATTACGACTGATTTACCATAAGTAACTTATCAATTTATACATATAATTGCTATATTGAGTAAATGTAAATATTGATTACGCTCACACTGACAGCTACCTTACAGAGAAATTCAAAATATAATACAAGTTTTCAACAATCCTACCTTTCCTTTCTGATAATTGTATTGCTATTTGTATGATAACGAATGAGTGAGTGTGTCTTTATATATATGTTTGTTTTATGTCATGTTATGTATATATTGTAACTATATTGTATACCAATGTATTTTTTTTTTTTTTTTTTTTAAATTAATAAAAGTTACCATGTATCAAGAGCAATGGTTACCATGTATCAAGAGCAATGGTTACCAAGTATCAAGAGCAATGGTTACCAAGTATCAAGAGCCATGGTTACCATGTATCAAAAGCAATGGTTACCAAGTATCAAGAGCAATTGTTACCAAGTATCAAGAGCAATGGTTACCATGTATCAAGAGCAATGGTTACCATGTATCAAAAGCAATGGTTACCATGTATCAAGAGCTCTTGAAGTATCCATGTAGTCACTATTGTGGTGAAAACTGGAGAGGACTTATATAGGCTTGCCTGTTGTCCAATCCATTTGTTTTTTTTAACAATAAAATTTGTTGAAATTGAAATGAATACTAAGAAAATGCTTCAAATTCCACATTGTTGTTTATATAGGGAGCCCACATTAAATTATCTTCACTGTTATGGACACAGATGCCTTAAGTTAGATAATAATATGGTGTGTATGTGATGCAGCTCTAAGCAATGGTGCACATATCTGTCGTTAGATTTCTCAATTATAAAACTATATCATATTCTAGTTTTAACTGATGTACAGCTATATGAAAACAATGTCTAAGACATTACTTTCTGTTAAATGAAAAGTATGGCACCAACAATTGCAATTACATGACACTAGAAACAATTAAACTGCATTCCTGATTTGTTTTGAATTGGATCATAAACACTGATGCTATCATTTCTCTTGTCGGTAAAGTAACAACAATTAACGAGTTACTTCCCTTGCCACCAAGACAGCGCCGCACGAGTTATCTACCTTGTGTACATGGTGTAGGTGTATAATAGTATCACAGTAATGCGTGGCATACTGGTATGGTTTTATACAGATGTAAATCATCACAAACTCATTTAATAAAAACTGCACAACAACAAATTGAAAAAAAGTAAAAACTCCAAAAGATAAATATAGCATATTACCCATTTTCTTTGATAAAATATTGTAGTAAAAATTGTTAATTGATTACACTTGAACAATTAAGACTAAATAATGTAATTACCATTACTTAAAGGTGTATAAAGGTGTATCACCTATAATGTACTAGCTACTTAAGTAAGTAAAAGCAGTTATCACAGCTGACCAAATATTACAATAATTGATAATGTAAAGATAAAAGCACACGATGTTATGACAAATAAACATCATACAGGGACAATATCCAACATGATATAAAGACAAAACAACATAACATAATAAAAACGTATCACATAAGACAGCTACAGTGTTTTATAATGAAACATATTAAGGTTGCTGGTGTATTTCACTATTCTAGTACAGTCTGGTATTACAGAGATTGTGGTAAATATCAGCAGTGTGTATCTCAGTATCCATGTCTTTAACAGAGAAACTTCGATGGTCTGGCCTTGACCTACTGTTGAGGGGCTGGGACTAAATTATTTAGCTTTTACTTGAATCTCCACAGATCCACTGATGCTCTCCAACTCCTTTGAATTAAAGACAGCGATGACGGTGCGTTCACCAGACCGTGACAAAGTCATAGTAAATGACTTCTTAAATGTATCACTGGGTCCCACACTGAAACAGATGATGAAACATTGTACATTAAAAAGGTATGGAAGACTGAAAGTACTACAGTTACCTCCCCCTGTACTAGTACAGACTGAGAGTATAACAGTTACCTCCCCCTGTACTAGTACAGACTGAGAGTACTACAGTTACGTCCCCCTGTACTAGTACAGACTGAGAGTACTACAGTTACCTCCCCCTGTACTAGTACAGACTGAGAGTATCACAGTTACCTTCCCCTGTACTAGTACAGACTGAGAGTACTACAGTTACCTCCCCCTGTACTAGTACAGACTGAAAGTACTATAATTACCACCCCCTGTACTAGAACAGACTGAAAGAACTACAATTACCTCCCTCTGTACCGAGACAGACTGAGAGTATTAACAGTTACCCCCCCCCCTGTACTCGGACAGACTGAGACTATTACAGTTACCTCCCGATGTACTAGAACAGGCTGAGAGTACTACAATTACCTCCCCCTGTATTAGGACAGACTGAGAGTACTACAATTACCTCCCCCTGTACTAGGACAGACTGAGAGTATTACAATTCCCCCCCCCCCCCCTGTACTCGGACAGACTGAGACTATTACAGTTACCTCCCCCTGCCCTAAAACAGACTGAGAGTACTACAGTTACCTCCCCCTGTACTAACCCAGACTGATACAATTACAGTTACCTCGCCCTGCACTAAAACAGACTGAGAGTACTACAGTTACCTCCCCCTGCCCTAAAACAGACTGAGAGTACTACAGTTACCTCCCCCTGCACTAAAACAGACTGAGAGTACTACAATGACCTCCCCTGTACTAGACCAGACTGAGAGTATTACAATTCCCCCCCCCCCCTGTACTCGGACAGACTGAGACTATTACAGTTACCCCCCCCCCCCCCAGTACTCGGACAGACTGAGACTAATACAGTTACCTCCCGATGTCCTAGAACAGGCTGAGAGTATTACAGTTACCCCCCCCCCTGTACTCGGACAGACTGAGACTATTACAGTTACCCCCCCATGTACTAGAACAGACTGGAAGAATTAACAGTTTCCCCCCCCCCTGTACTCGGACAGACTGAGACTAATACAGTTACCTCCCGATGTCCTAGAACAGGCTGAGAGTATTACAGTTACCCCCCCCCCTGTACTCGGACAGACTGAGACTAATACAGTTACCTCCCGATGTAGTAGAACAGGCTGAGAGTCCTACAATTACCTCCCCCTGTATTAGGGCAGGCTGATAGTACTACAATTCCCCCCCCCTGTACTAGAACAGACGGAGAGTATTACAGTTACCTCCCCCTGCCCTAAAACAGACTGAGAGTACTACAATTGCCTCCCCCTGTATTAGGACAGACTGAGAGAATTACAATTACCTCCCCCTGTATTAGGACAGACTGAGAGTACTACAGTTACCTCCCCCTGCCCTAAAACAGACTGAGAGTACTACAATTGCCTCCCCCTGTATTAGGGCAGGCTGATAGTACTACAATTCCCCCCCCCTGTACTAGAACAGACTGAGAGTACTACAATTACCTACCCTGTATTAGAATAGACTCAGAGTATAACAGTTACCTCCCCCTGTACTAGGACAGACTGAGAGTATTACAATTACCTCCCCTGTACTAGAACAGACTGAGAGTATTACAGTTACCTCCCCCTGTACTAGGACAGGCTGAAAGTATTACAGTTACCTCCCCTGTACTAGAACAGACTGAGAGTACTACAATTACCCCACCCCCCTGTACTAGGACAGACTGAGAGTATTACAATTACCTCCCCTGTACTAGGACAGTCAGAGTACTACAGTTACCTCCCCCTGTACTAGAACAGACTGAGAGTATTACAGTTACTTTCCCTGGTACTAGAACAGACTGAGAGTACTAAAATTACCTCCCCCTGTGCTAGGACAGACTGAAAGTACTACAATTACCTCCCCTGTACTAGGACAAACTGAGAGTACTACAATTACCTCCCCCTGTACTCGGACAGACTGAGAGTATCACAATTACCTCCCCATGTACTCGGACAGACTGAGAGTATTACAGTTACCTCCCCCTGTACTAGGACAGACTGAGAGTACTGCAATTACCTCCCCCTGTACTCGGACAGACTGAGAGTATCACAATTACCTCCCCATGTACTAGGACAGACTGAGAGTATTACAATTACCTCCCCCTACACTGGGACAGACCGAAATTATTAGTTATCTCCCCTTGTACTAGGACATACTGTGAGTATTACAATTACCTCCCCCTACACTGGGACAGACTGAAATTATTACAGTTATCTCCCCCTGTACTAGGACAGACTGAAAGTACTACAACTACCCCCCC